CTCATGAAATCAAAATTGACTATTTACTTTGTTAGCGCACATCGCTAGTCCTGGGGTGAACAATTAATTAAATTAATTAAACAATTAACAATTAATTATTTAATCAAAATCTGAACATTTTCTTCTGCTCTGGAATAGCATTCCTTCTCTGATGACGTCAGTTTGCTGGCTTGGGCGGAAAATCCTTAACCATGCCCCCTCCAACCGTTAGTTAGTTAGTTTGCTGTGAGTGAGAGATGGAGAGGAGGAATGCTAAAATAAAACTCTGCCTTCTATTCAATATTCTGTTTCAGTTGGAAATACGTCATTATAATGAAATAAAGTCGTATTACTGAAATAAAGTAAATAAATAAATTACCTTAGTTACGAGATTCCAACTTGTAAAAAGCATTCACGTGGTCATAAAACTCGTAATTACAACTTGTAAACTTGGAATTTTCTGAAGAGCTACGACTGGTACTACTTGACCGCTGTACCACCGGACCGCCGCAGATTCATTAGGTGCTATGTTTGGGCGTTGATAGTGTTGCCATAGAAACGGATAATTCCAAATATAAGACTTGAACAGCTCCGAGTATACCTGTCACCCGTTGTCATCTCGAAATAACCATATTGGGATATGGCGTGAATGTAGCATAAGCTAAGAGACAGGGCAGAGTTGACGTCATTGCTATGGATGATCAACAAGCTTACTAACTATGCCTACAGTGATTGGCTGAGAGAGGATGGGTCTCTGTCAGGGATTTAATCATATAAATATTGTAGAACGCGGTACATGTTCACCTCATTGACCTCATATACGGCTTTATCATTTGAAAGGGAAACGTGTAAGTTGTAGAAAGTTTACATTGCCGCTCGCTCTAACGTTAACCTTGATAAATGTGTACTATTAGGCACATATTTGAGTGTTTGTGTGGAGTGTGGAAGATGCACAGGCGCGATCACTGGCATTTTTTCCATAAAATCTGCCACCATTTTTGTTCATACAGATAAGAGTAAAACATAATTTAAAACTATAAAGGGTCTACTTTGCACGCACTCACAATATCAACAAAGTGTTGTGCTTTTGTAAAATTAAAAAAAATAAACTGGTGCCATTCACAAAAATGAGCCGACACTCAGCATATAGGCTACCTTACAGACATGAGAAATATACAGAAAGCTAGAAATGTCCCCTTTTAAATAAACCAATTGAAATTGAAAACAAATACTCTCTTATGTAATCCGTATGTTGCATTGCTCTCTGAAGGCACATCACTGTACTGAAGAGATGGTGAGTCAGCATCATCATCTTCATCTTTGCAGCCGACACTGACTCAGAATAAAATAGTTTATTAATAAATAATTAAAATATCTCCTTGCTATTTTTTTCGGACACATAGTCATTACTTTTGTTGGTGCTTTGCGGCAAGCTTCATGCATGCTATAAAGGCTCATTATGGTTTACTTCTTGCCCAACTTGTACATGAAAAGAAGGACATAATTAAATTGAAGGGATAGTTTAGGATAGTTTGTGATTGGGTCTTAGGAGTCCTCTTGCCAACCCTTTACATTTCACAGATTTGGTAGCTGGTTTTAGTGTTAAAACGCTTTGTGATATATTGAGTTTCACCTAAATCAGCAAGTTAGGAGCTACTTTTAGCCTTAAGGTGTTTTGTGAATACGGCCCCTGGTCTCTAATGACTTGTGCATGAGAGACAGGGTTTGCAGCCAGATTCTACAAATAGTGGCACTGGCGCAGATTTTTATTCTGGGGTCCGTTCTTCGTACCTCGCGTAATACATCTGAGATGATTTGACAGATGCCAGATCTTTTAATCCTGATATCTGATCTCTGGCTAATTTGGTTATTCAAACAAGTTAGCGTATTTGATTAAAATATCTAAGATTAGGCTATTTTGTGTTGTCAAGTTCATTGGAAAGGGCAGATATATTGATACTCAAAACCATGATCAGTAATGCAGTGATTGGCTGGTGGCGAGACAACAAAGTAACGACATCATATAATTAAGATAAAGGAAACAGCCTAGTGAGCAAAATGACATAAAAGTTCTACATAAATAAAATGTGTAACCGTTTTTTAAATGATTTCCAATTATTAAAAATGTTTCTAGAAATTGCACAGGCTTTGTAGTTTTCAATGTCAAGAGTATTGTAATTAGCAATTCATTTAATTTTGAAGCGGATTTGTTATACATGACAGCATTAATTAAAGTTTCTTAATCCCATAAAATCCATTTTAAGACATAATTGACTGTTTTATTTTTTTTGCCCATCATAAAAGTATTTTGAGATTTAAGAAGTGGCTGCATCTCCTGCGATGTATCAAAGCGACCCGCATAAAAGCTCACCGTTCAAATTAATGCACAGCTCTGACAAACTGTACGTAATGTGTGTATGACTGCAATAAAATTATGAGATAGTTATTCCTTCACGAATAAATCTCTCAATTAGTTAAATTGGTCATGTCTATTACCTATAGATTACGGAACATTTTAATTATTTTCAAAATAATTTTCAATTTATTATTATTATTATTATTATTATTATTATTATTATTATCATTCCTGGTTTAATAAGATATTCTTGTAAGAAAGTAGCAATGGTTGGGACAGACTTTCAGTATCACCTTCACTTAAAAAGATGCAATCTAATACTGTTTATGTAAAATAAGCCTGCTCCCAAGCAGGTTTGATCTAACAGACCTGCTGCTATGACAGCAACTCTGGGATGAGCTTCGAAGATCATAACAATCCTGGATCATGTCAAATCACCAACAATAAAATTCAGCTAACTGAGTAATCCACATATCAAGAACGGACCCCTGGAACATCAGTGACCGTTTGAACCTTTTGTAGTAGTTGCGTATGATTTTCTCAGTTGTCCTCAGTGTGAAAAGATGAATTTAAAACTCATACAGTCATTGTTGAAAATAATAATTCAAATAAGCAAAAGATGCTGGAAAACCGAAGAATTTGTGGGACCTGAAGGATTTTTCTGAAGAACAGCAGGCAGTTTAACTGTTCAGGACAAACAAGGGACTCATGAACATATATATATAAAAAAAAAAAAAAAAACAGCTGTGGATCATTCAGGTACAACACAGTATTAAGAATCAAGCATATGTAAACTTTTAAACGGGGTAATTTTTATAAATTCAACTATTATTCTGGTCTGTCATCACATGCCTGTAATTTTTAATGTTGTTATGCCATGCAAACCAGTTTTGCCACAGTCAGGTGTGTTTTGTTCTCGTCTTATTACTTCATCCACGGCGGTAGAATTTTCTGAGGTATATAATTCCTCTTCATTTGTGAATGTGATTGAGTCTCCTTCTCCTTCTGTGGGCCCAGATGAGCTGTTGATATTGTTCAATTCTGTTTACTCCGATATCTTAGATGTAGTTGCCATATATAAAGTTAGGAAACCTAAACTTAATCCAACTCCATGGCTTAACAACTATACTTGTTCTCTGAGGCAGGAATGCAGGAAGGCTGAACGGAAATGGAGAAAGGATAAGCTACAGGTTTCACTTCAATTTATGAGGCAGTGTTTTTCAGACTACCAGGCTGCTGTGAGAACTGCAAGGCAAAATTATTTCTCAAGTGTCATTGCACAGAATTATAATGCCCCTGCAGCCCTTTTCTCAACAATTAATAGACTTCTCAATCCGAATGGATGTTCTACCTTGACCCCCTCATTGGAGGTATGTGAAATGTTTCGGACATTTTTTGTGGAAAAAGTAGAAAAGATTAGAACTAGTCTGCCTACGTCTTCAGTTGAGTTTGTGATATCACCAGCTTGTGTAAGGAGTTTTGAACTCTTTGAGCAGGTGTCTCAGGCGCAAGTTATGGACATCATTATGAGTTTGAAGCCTACATCTGGTGGTTGCATGTGTGTGTGTGTGTGTGTGTGCATTGTCTACATATTTGCTTATTTACAGAACTATAAAGAACTAAACAATTTGACAATTTGCTTTCCCCCAAAGAAGAGTTGGGTCCAGGATTACATACAGATCTTGAACAGAACAAAAGAAACCGAAAAACTGAAAAAAACAGTCAAGTATGAATTTGCCATCACAAGCTCCCAAACACTGTATTTTTGTATACCTGTTTTGTGTAATTACTTGTATTTTGTGTATTTTTTTTTAATGAATATAAAATGCATTTACAGTAAAATGTACTCTTGTCCATATTAAGTTGTGTTTTGTATGTATGGTTCTAGAGAATATTTGTTGCGGACTGAATATTAAATTTCCGTTAAGTACCTTTTTCTTTTAGTTGTCTTTTTTTTTTGCATATTTTTGCCATATATATTTCTAATACAACTGTTGAGAAGAGACATGAAGGAAGAGTGGAACATGATCCAGAATCGAACTCTGGACAGGACTCAAACTCTTGTTAACTAATTTTTATGTTGTTTTTCACAATAGGCCTAAACATCATTCCACTGGAACTTTACAGAAAATAGTGCCATGTACTGTATGCACTGTAATCAGGTATAGCTCTAATTACAGCATATTTACAAAAAAGTACCATGTTATTACAATATTTTTAACATGGTAACATAGAAATGCGAAGTTTCTTGGACACATACCATGAAAACACCATCATAGAAAAAAATATTAGATACTTTCTAGATATTTAAGATGCAAATCAGCATGTGCTATGATCTTTTTGAACATAAATAAAGTCAGCTCCGTTTATGTAACTAAATAAAAACATTAAAAATATATAAATACCATATTAGAATACTATAATTATTTAGAATCAGTACTATGAATACCAAAAAACTACCCAGCACTTGGGTAAAAATATTAAAAATATCCCAATAAAATGCTACAGCACTCTTTTAGGGTCAACTTTTAGGGCTTATTATTTATTTATGTATTTATGATGAAGAAAAGTGATCGCAGAGGGTGGTGAGCTTTGTGGGCTGAAAGACCTCCCTCAACATAGACCCTTCAGCCCGGCAGAAAGTTTCAGAATTAGAAGTGAGCAACAGAACAAGATGAAGTTCACTCTATTTGCTGCCTTTCTTTTCTCTATAGAATGGAGTGTTGTGGTAGCAGGTGAGATTTGATTATTTTAATTATGAGCTCTTTGGTTAAATATTGTGGCTTGACCTCAGTAAATTTCAATTAACTGAAATGTAGAGAATTGAGATGACAATGTAGCTTAAGAGAGAGAGAGAGAGAGAGTGTGTGGGTGTGTGTGTGTGTGTGTGTGTGTTATTCTGTGAATGCAAAGATTATTTATCTGAATAAAATGATGTGCTTCTCCAATAGGTGATGGACGTCCAGTACCCTGCTGTCTTACTGTGTCAGGCACCAATATACGAGCTGACTACATTGTGCGTTATACTATGCAAGATCAACCGCTATGTCCTATCAGAGCTGTAAGGCAAGTTCAGAATTATTATAATCTATCACAATATTAAGTTTTACACAGAGTAAGTAAGACATTGGCAGACAATTAAATGATGAGAGCTAACACGTCTCGTATCCTTTTTTTTTCCATGTACAGATTCCACACCAAGAAAAACAAAGTTATTTGTTCAGATCGTGATAACAACTGGGCTAAGAATGCGATGAGGATAGTGGATGGGAGAAAGAAAACAAAACCTTCCCAAAAACCTACTATGTGCTATTCAAGTACAACAAACATTATCCCAACTGTAAATACAACAAACAAAACACCAGGAACAGAGACGGAGACCAGCACAAGTATAACTGTAACACCAAAAGTGACGACAGTCAAAACATCTGGTTTTAGTAACTTTCACTCACCTGAAATGTAGAGAAGTTGAGCCGATATAGTAGCTAATGAGAGAGTGCACACGTGTTTATATCTTATACTGTGAATATAATGATCACTCACCTCAATACAATGATGTTCTTCTTCAACAGGTGATGGACGTTTAGTAGACTGCTGTGATACTGTGACAAACACCAGAATACCAGTTGAAAAAATTTTGCATTATGACATGCAAGAAACAAATCTATGTCCTGCCAGAGCTGTAAGGCAAGTTTAGAGTTATTGTAATATATACCATTTCGAAGTTTTACACAGACTCAGTAATAAATATGCAGATAATTAAATGATGAGAGCTAAAACGTCAAGTATTATTTTTTTTCCACGTTCAGATTTCACACCAAGAAAAACATAACTATTTGTTCAGATCCAGACAGCATATGGGCTAAAAAAGCGAAGGCGATAGTGGATGGGAGAACAACGATCAAAACATCTGGACCGGAGACAGAGATCAACAAAACAACCATACAACCAACTTCAGTGTCCAGAGACAGCCCAGAATCTTCTCTGAGTACTACGACATGTAAGATGTGTGAAACAGTAACATATGGAGTAGTTGGTGATGATATGTGTTTTTTTTTTAGAGAGAGTATGTAGGCTCATACTGACATGAACATGACATGTTTACTGCTTTATAAATAATAAGTCTTGGCTTCTGGTTTTATTACAGTTACATCATCTACAACCAAGGACTGCTGCTTAGCAGTAACAAAAAACAAACCAGCATTTCATGAAATTGTGGACTACAGAGTTCAAGAAACACCACTTTGCTCTATCAGAGCTGTGCTGTGAGTTTAGGACTAAAATTAAAGTCTTTTTTCCCCCTCCAAATTTCCAATTTACATGGACACTATAACATTTTTGTTGTTGTTGTTATTTCTTGTTTTTATATTTCGACTATTATCTGATAGACTGCATAATCTATTTTTAATGGACTCTTATTAGAATTGTATGTCTTAAAGTACAATTTTAAAACAATGTATGTATACAATTTATTTACAGATTCATAACTGTGGGGAACAGCAAAATTTGCTCTTCTCCAGTAGAAGACTGGGTCCAGGATTACATACAGAACTTGAACAGAAGGAAAAAAACTATAGACAAGAGAGAGTTTGCCATCAAAAGAATAAAAGACTCCAACACCAATAATTACTTTTGTCTAAAGAAGGAACAATCTAAATACTTTTGCTTCAAACAGCCTTGAAACATCTGTTGGAAAAGCTTGGCCAACTTGTTATGCCTGTATACTGATAATACCAGGATAACTGAACAACTTCTAAGTCTAATAAACGAATAAGGTGATGCTAGTGAAAAATCAGCACTGTGGTTTCAGTCACATTGTCATATTTGTATTCATGTTTTGTGCGATGACTTCTATTTTGTGTATTGCCTTTTATTAATTTACTTAATTTAAAATCAATGTAAGTATCCAAAAATAATTTAACTAGTAACACAAAATCTTAGGCTGATGATACAAGGGGCAACGTTTTTTGAGCAATGTTGCTTGTGCACTTTCCCATTGAGAATGGGTAACAAATACTTTAGATCGGTCGTGGGCCCTGTGTCTCACCTGGTTGCCCATTGACAGCAACATTGCTCAAAAAGTTGCCCAGTCTATCATCAGCCTTAATAATTCATATTACTTTGTGTATAGACGTATGTATGATGCTATTAGTGTATATAGTGTCAGTCTTAGAGTTGATTCACGACACTTTGCTGTGCCACAAACGGGATTTTGGATGACGAAATACGCATGGACCAATAACTGAATAGATTTCCTTATTTAAGAATATTCTCAGATAAATTCACACTGAATGGTTAAATTCCTAATAGGAGTTTACATTCAACACAATCAAAAATTTTCTAGAGAATACATTATGGTAAGGAAACGAATCGTCATCACAACCTTCAATTTAGGGTTATGCCGGTAGACAATAGTATTGTGTATCGATGATAGCCAGAGATATCGCCTGTTGCTGATTTCTTTTACGACAGCAAGACGATTATTATTATTATTATTATTATTATCCTTCAAAAATATAGGCGCCTATCTTTAGTGATGCAGCGCGGAGAGCCGCTTCAGAAACTTGCCGCGGCGCGAGTGGTGAGTAGCCGGGATCAGCTCCGGTGGCTGTGTCGGAGCCGTAAAGCCCAATTTATACTTCTGCGTCGAACCTACGCTGTAGCCTATGCATAGACGCGCACCCTACGCCGTAGCCTGACGTGCACCTCTCCAAAAATCTAACAGCAATTCTATGCGGACCGCAAGCGCTGTGATTGGTCTGCTAGAACCCCTCCCTCCGGATGCACTTGAGTTTTGTGTGTGTTTATGTGCACTTTAATATATTGTAATGTTACACCTTCTTATATAAAATAAAACAAAGCAAAGAACAAGTGTCTTATCATTTATTATACTACATAGCAGTATACATCAGTAGTTGTCCGCGACAAACAATGTTGATCTGCCGTGGTACAAGTCCTTGTCGAGATTGAAAGTATGCCATCTTCTCCTGTTCCGTTGTTGTCTCCTTTTTGTAGTTTTAAATAAGGATTTAATGATTCAATATTTATTTGCCGCCTCACGGCTATAATGCTTCTCCGACGAGTCGCTTCTTCTTCGGCTTTTGCCGTGGTACTGCGGGTTACACCAGCAACATGCCCGTGCTTTTAAAATATAAAGTGTTTTTAAAATATAAAAGCATATAATACTCGCGCTAGACTGAAGTCAGTTATGATGTTCTATGGTAATGTAAATATTCTTTGCTCGTTTTCTGTTTGAATAAACTGCTCGTCGTCAAACATTTCAAGAACATTCTTCCTCTCCTGAAAGATTCGCGCACATCTCTGTCTCCTCAGCGCCATCACAAGCCCCTATCTAGCAACTCCTAACCACTTGAGAGACCTCTCGAGCTGGCTTAAATAACTGGGAGAGTAAGAGCCCTGGTAAATAAATTTTTTTTTTTAAAGATGTATTTTTCAGAATTTTTTTTTTTTTTGGAGTTGTTGAGAAGAGAGAGAGAGTGGAAGGGATCGAGACTTCCAGACGGCACTCAAACTCGGGTCACCCGAAGCAGTGCTGCGTGACAGGGTGGCTGGCTGATCATAAGGTTATGAGTTCGACCTCGCATTAAATGGTAGGCTACTGTTTAGTTAAAAGTAGCCAATATAAACTCACATGAGATGTACACTCCAGTCATATCAGTGGCTTAAAAAAGGTATTTTTATTCTAAAAGAGCACCATAGTTTGCCCTCATACATCATTAGACACGTTCAGCTGCAAAATAAATTATGTCAAATATATGTGTAAGTATGTTTGGTCACACTTTATTTTAAGGTCCAATTCTCGCTATTAATTAACTATTAACTATTAACTATGACTTTTGCCTCAATAAACTCCTAATTACTGCTTAGTAAGGTAGTTGTTAAGTTTAGGTATTGGGTAGGATTAGGGATGTAGAATATGGTCATGCAGAAAATGTGCTTTAAATAACCAATATGCTAGTAATATGCATGGTAATAAGCAACTAGTTAATAGAGAGAATTGGTCCCTACACCAATGTTACCATATGTTTTTCATACAATTGCATCCAATGCCTGAAAACTTTATCATGATGCGGCTTTACATTTTGGGCGAACTATTCCTTTAATGCAGCAGTCAGATTGATTCTGGCTGCAACAACACAACAAATCAGGCAAGAGAGAAGGAAGTGCAATGGGCAGCTTGGCGAGGGTACATAAACTAAGCTCATCTTTCAGTTTAGTCGATTTGTCTTCTTATCCCCAGACTCCAAGGAACATTTTTAGCTTTCCCCATAGCCCTAGCACCATTTGGAGAAGGCTTAAATATAAAAAAGGCATATATTCATACAGTCCCATTTATAGGCATTTACTTTGTGTAAAATAGCAATATTGTAAAGACAACATGTTGTTTGATAAATAGCCAGCTCGTATCTCCCATTGTACTAAAGCAAATAATTGAAATATTATCTCAAAATATTTTTTAGTGTTTTTTTTTTTACAGTAGGCATCATTCCAAAGCAGATTTACAGAAAATAGACAGGATGATGAAAAACTCTCTACAAAGATTTACACACATACTTTTTACTTTTAATTATTGTATTACCATACCTTATATTTACTTTCACCCAAAGAAGTTATTTTGAAGATTGTTGGTATCAACAAAACATTGAATCCCATTGATTTTCAGTGTATGGTCAAAAAAAAAACACTGACTTTTTTTATCGTTGTTTCATGTTGTACAGAAAAAATAGTACAGGTTTGGAAAACATGAGGTTATGAGATAGAATTGTCAATGGGCTGAACTATTCATTAATACATTAGTGTGGTGTCAGTATTTTTACTGAAGTATGGATCTACTTTTTCCAACACTGCTGAAAACCAGAGTGCAACTCAGAGCCAGAACATGAAGTATTAACAAGTAACCTGACCAAAACTATAATTATAATTAAACTCTAATTTTTTCCAATGACTCAGGTCAAGTTTATGTAATTCTGGTCAGCGAATACTGAAACTTCAAAGATGTGCACATGGCCCACCGGCTGTTCTTTGGTTTACTAGAGCTTAGCATATAGTGCATAATTAGGTGCAGTTTAGCAGTCACTACTTCCTCTCGTAGAACAGAGTGTGATGCTGTGGTCTGTCATCTTGCATCTACATCAGAACTTTCTACAAATAGCTCAGAGGACATCATACACCAAGTTTCTTGTGTGTGATTTCGAAACAGGAAATGCACATGTGGTTGTTCATTTAGGTCTACAAATTTAATTTCATATAATACCAGAAAGGACCACTGTACTATAGTAAATAGGGCATTAGTAAACAAACTCATAAATGTTAACCTTATAAAATGTGAAACATTTGCATAATGGCATTAAACTATGTGCAGTTGTTCATTATGAATGTCATATAGAGAACAATTACATCATGAAACAGCTTCACATGTCTTTGTTTAAGTGTAGGTGAGTGCTGGGTGGGAGCTGGTTTTGTTTTAAGGTCTTGCTAAGACGTGGAAGATCCCAGTAAGACTGAATAAAACGTTTGTGGTTTCATGATCACAGCCCCTTTAAGGCCTCTGTAGTTTCCACACACGTTTAACAGACCCACATTTTATACCTAATGCTCACAAAGTGCATAACGATTCCATTTTTAGATGCATTCACTCTCATTTTTGCCTTTTTTAATGTTGCTATTAAACTCAAAAGCTTTCTTTTGTCAACCTTAGCTATTGCATATGACATACTTATTGCTGTAAGCAACCACATGTAACAATCTGGCCAATTCTGTTTAGAAACAGTAGTTTGTGAATGTAGTCAGGTCTATCTGTACATACCTTATACTGCACACTTACAAAAAAGTAACAAGGTATTATCACATTTTTGAAAATACCATGTTTCTTAGACACATACCGGAAAAACCATGATACTCTTTGAAGTATCATGTAAATGGTAGAAAAAAAGGGTAACACTTTATTTTAGGGTCTTAGTTGCTTATTAGCATGCATATTACCAGAATATTAGCCATTTATTAGTACTAATTAAGCACATATTAATGCCTTATTCTACATGACCTTATTCTACATCCCTAATCTTACCCAATACCTAAACTTAACAACTACCTTACTAATTATTATTAGCAGCAAATTAGGAATTTATTGAAGGAAAAGTTGTAGTTAATAGTGAATAAGTGTTCCCTATTCTAAAGTGTTACCAAAAAAAGATTCTTCAGATGCAAATTAGCATGTGTTTTAATCTTTTTGAACTCATATTATATTTTTTTGTGTTTTAGCTCAGATTATTGTTTTGTACCATTTCTATAACATAAACTAAATAAAAACATAATAAAAAAATTAACAAATACCATATTAGATGAATATTGTGATTTAGAATCTGTACAATGCTATACAAAATTACCAAGGTAATATTATCTGGTACCAGCATTGTACCACTTAACAGCACTTTTTAAGGGCTAACTTTCTTTATTTGTTTGTTTGTTTGTTTCATTAAAAATAAAAATATAATAATAACAATAATAATAATACATTTTAATTTTAAAACCTAACCAGGAACAGAGGCTGCAAATGAGACCAATAGTTTAGGCCACAATGAACTGAACTGAGCCATGACGAATGCTCATTGTGAATTTTGTAACCCCTTACTTTCCTCTATGTGGTTAAATGCATCTCTTTCTCTCTCGTTTTTGGTCTTCCACTCATCACTCATCTTTTCCTGTCCCCGACTGAGGTGTCTGTGGGCCTAGGTGACGAAGAAAAGTGATCGCAGAGGGTGGTGAGCTTTGTGGGCTGAAAGACCTCCCTCAACATAGACCCTTCAGCCCGGCAGAAAGTTTCAGAATTAGAAGTGAGCAACAGAACAAGATGAAGTTCACTCTATTTGCTGCCTTTCTTTTCTCTATAGGATGGAGGAGTGTTGTGATAGCAGGTGAGATTTGATTATTTTAATTATGAGCTCTTTGGTTAAATATTGTAGTTTGACCTCAGTAACTTTCAATTAACTGAAATGTAGAGAACTTCAGACTGCAATGTATTTTAAGAGAGAATGTACGTGTGTACACCTTATACTGTGAATATAATGATAATTTATCTGAATAAAATGATGTGCTTCTCCAATAGGTGATGGACGTCCAGTACCCTGCTGTCTTACTGTGTCAGGCACCAATATACGAGCTGACTACATTGTGCGTTATACTATGCAAGATCAACCGCTATGTCCTATCAGAGCTGTAAGGCAAGTTCAGAATTATTATAATCTATCACAATGTTAAGTTTTACACAGAGTAAGTAATAAATTGGTGGATAATTAAATGATGAGAGCTAAAATGTCAATTATCCTTTTTTCCATGTACAGATTCCACACCAAGAAAAACAAAGTTATTTGTTCAGATCGTGATAACAACTGGGCTAAGAATGCGATGAGGATAGTGGATGGGAGAAAGGAAACAAAACCTTCCCAAAAACCTACTATGTGCAATTCAAGTACAACAAACATTATCCCAACTGTAAATACAACAAACAAAACACCAGGAACAGAGACTGAGACCAGCACAAGTATAACTGTAACACCAAAAGTGACGACAGTCAAAACATCTGGACCGGAGGCCAGCACTAGTACAGCTGTACCATCAATAGTGACGACAGTCAAAACATCTGGACCGGAGACCAGCACAAGTATAACTGTACCACGAACAGTGATGACAATCAAAACATCTGAACTGGAGACCAGCACGAGTACAGCTGTCCCATCGATAGTGACAACAATCAAAACATCTGGACCGGACACCAGCACAAGTACACCTGTACCATCAATAGTGACGACAATCAAAACATCTGGACCGGAGACCAGCACAAGTATAACTGTACCAGTAACAGTGATGACAATCAAAACATCTGAACTGGAGACCAGCACGAGTACAGCTGTCCAATCAATAGTGACAACAATCAAAACATCTGGACCGGAGACCAGCACAAGTACACCTGTACCATCAATAGTGACGACAATCAAAACATCTGGACCGGAGACAGAGACCAGCAAAAAAAACATCCTACCAACTTCAGTGTCCAAAGACAACCCAGAATCTACTGCGATAACATGTGGGACTGGTGAACCAGCTGCACTGCCAACAGAAACAAAACGGGAAACACCTGGAATAGGCACAGTTACACCTCTGAATACATTTACAACAAAGGACAATATGGTGATCACAACTTCACATAATCACACACCCAAGAGGACAACACCGTCAAAGTTAAAAAAAAAAAAACTTAGTAAAAGCAAGAAAGGACTTAGAAAAATTCAGATGAGAATGAACCATCTAAAAAAAAAACGGGATAAATCTGGACAATTTGTATAAATATACACATAGATTACAGTAAGTTTGAATATACTCATGATGGGTTGTGAGTTGAAGCACTACAGATATTATTTAGTCCTAGACTAGGACTGACGTTTGGTGTTGGTCTTATAGCTGCAGACTAGTTCAGTTGTGTGGTGTGTTTCTACAGAGTGTGTAATTTATTTGGTTTTATTATTATTTGTTAATAAATTAATTCAATAAATAGTGTTAATATAAATAAAATGTAGACCTTTATTTCTATTACAATAATAAATGAATATAATTAATATTTTTTTCTGATGTGTTTTCATTGTAGATATTATGCATATACAGTAACTTGCTGAAAGTATTCTTCACAAAAAAAATAAAAATTATGGACAAGTGCTTAGTGAGAGTCAAAGTTTGATCATCTGAAACTGCAGTGAGGGAAAAGAGGCCTTCATCATATCTATCTATATCTTACTATAGTGAGGATGCAGTGTCACACTATCATCACATGGTGGCAGACTAATCTAGAGAAGCGTTTCCAGCTAACTGCAGCCTTTAGCTAACCATGAGAATGTCAGTTAACAGTTTTACAACAGTAGAGGTAAACTCATTGTAAATGTACTACAGGATAAAGCTGATGTAAACCTTTGAAAACAGTTAAAAATCAACTGAATTGTCTGACACATTTCTCTGAGTGAATTTCTCTTTTAGAGGTACTGCAGCAGTTCTGTAAAGTAGGCAGTGCATATCAAACTTAAACGTAAAACTATAATAGTCTAAAGACAGAAAGTCTCAATGTCAGGGTGATGACAATCCAGTTTTTTTCCGCTGGCACTCTGGAAGTTTGGCAGAAAAAGTATATACATAAAGTATATACATAAAAAAGCATACATACTTCACCACACTTGCTCAAGACTGACACAAACTAAACCGGCTAAGGTAGAATAATAATTAGACCAATACAATAATGTTGATTTCTGAGAGACAGGACGCTGGTGTGTCTTATTTTGTTTCTTGATTTTCTCTCTGTTTGTACGGGCACGCTTGTTGGGTCACCAATCGAATGGCAGATAGAAATGAAATTCTTAATAAAGCTTGCGATTGGAATGAACATTGCAGGAAATTACAATCAATACTTGACTGCAGATGCTCATCCGATATCGAGTCTTTTTTTAAGATGAAAAATGCTTTGAAAAATGTAGGAAACACGGTTACACTGGAAAACAGAGGAGAAGCCTGGTGTTATCAATCTTGAGGATACCTCTGATAAGCCAGAGAGCGGCTTTTATTTAGATCTTGAAACAAGAGGCAAACAAAACAATTGAATTGATTGAGATCAAATCTCGCAGGTGGTGAGATTCACAAACACCTGGCTTGAGATCAGATCGCATTGAGCTTTCTTTTTTTTCCACCCTGTATAGAGCATTCTCCTTCATCTGGGGGACAATACGACTGGGGAACCAGCTGCAATTTGTATATAAATATAAGTTGTTTTTCTTCAATAACAACAGTACTGAAATTGACGATCGATATTTTTTATATGACAGCTGTGAAAAATCTCACATAAATGTGTGAACGTTTAGAGCGCTCTCCTTCACATTCATGTGGACATGCACACATTGACACACAGAGCGGTTTTTCTCCTCAGATTTTTTTATGGCTTGGCTGAGCCGAGGTCCTCATAAATCTACAGACGGGACATAAATGCCAGCGGCCCTTTGCCTGAGTTTGCCAGGTGAAAATTAATGGAATAAAACAGGGCTTAATAGCACGGAGCAGGTAATTACCTTCTCTGGCCTGCTCGTCTGTGAAATATGATAATATTGCGCACTAATAAGACGGACCCAAACTCCCAGTGCCCATCCACAGGCATAGGGAAGGGTCACTATGCTTTGCAAGTCTGTCATAAGGGGGTATTCTTTTTAAAGGGGTTATTTGCAAAGTATTTTCACGTCTGACAATATTTATAAGAAATTATGAGGCCCAAGTCAGGTTGTTAAAACTGGTTCCATTAAATATGTATTAGCACATATTACATTCCAGTCAACTCTACTGATTATTTGTTTTGCTGTTGTTGTTGTTATTGTTTTAAAATGGCACACAACTAAAATATTTTCAATTTTATACAGAGGACCAAATGAGTCTAATCTCTTTTAATAATAATCAAATCATTATTATAATAATTTTTATTTTATTTTATATTTTATTGGACTTTATAGAGTGCTGCAGTGATGACATATTTTTGTAGGCCAACCCAAAATTTGCACCACCCTGGTTCCCTCAACAAAGACGAATAGGAGTTTTCATTGGCTTTTGGATTATTGCAGAAAATAAGCTCTGTTGCCAACAAAAGTTTATGAGTTGTACATGTTTTGTTCATCATGATAATCTTCAAAAATCAACACAACTTATATGAATTTTAAAGCCTAAATATGATTGCCAGAATTAAAAAGCTAAACATAGGCTATAAACGAACAATGCCATGGTCGCATGATTTCAACGTTATCACCATTAAGCTTCTGACAACTCTTCCTGAAAATTAAAATAGTTTGCAAGAGCATGAGGCTATAAACGCATATTATAAGAGAAAAAGTGAAATATGAAATATAAATATTTGGTTGGTCATGTGGCCCCAAATTGGCAGCCATTATGAAAAGGGACCACTCTTAGAGTAAAACAGTTTTTTTTATGCCACCGCACACACAAGTCAATTTACACGTTATTTAAAGTACTACTTTAGGTGTTGACCTTTTTGTATGTGCACCTGAAGTATATCAGTGTATTATCATGCCACACTGAAGGAAACATAATACAGAGAACATTATAACATGTAAGGGTTGTGTGTGTGTTAAGGGAAGACAGCGCAACTTGTGCTGAGCACATGGTTTTAAGGCCTGACGGAGATGCACTCCTGGGATAGCGCTTAACTTGAGAGACAGCCACAAGATTGATTTGTCTGACACAGGGAGATTACATTCAGTGACACACCTGTATTAGACAAGGGCACAGGCAATCAAAGAGCATCCACACACCAGCCTGACCAGCCACTGAACTTTAGATCAGTTTAAATATTACAATCCATTAAATATTAGGCTATTTATTTGTGTACATTTTGTGTAACATTCACTGTTAATTAATTTTAATTTAATTTTATTATTTGTATTTATTTTTCTGTTTCAATCAAATTAATTCTGTTTCTGTGTATTGCATTTTGGGATTCAGTATTCTGCTTTGTGTACTTTGTTGTGTACAGCAGCAAATGTATTTAGTCATTCGAGTACACGCATTCAGAAAGTTAGCATATTGTGCACATTACACAAACGCGAAGACGGACTTTTTCCATGGCGAACAAATCAAACGTAACACAAACACGCGCGCATGCGCGAGTGCCGAATGCCGCGCTAAACTAAACGAAATCCTTTTCCGCTTTAAGACGCCAGCCAAAAAGAAGTTTGGAATAAGGAGGAGAGAGGAAGACATCTTTATCATATTCAAAATCAAGTTGGGGTTGAAAGAGTTAATTTTGGTAGTAGAAGAGAAGATACAATTATTACCAGACTTCGCATTGGCCATAGGCCTACTGCTTTAAATTCTTCTCTATATAAAATGAATAAGCATGAGTCTGGGAACTGTAGTCTGTGTGGATTACCAGAAACAGTAGAGCATGCACTATTACATTGTTCTGCTTATGATAATGAAAGAGCATTTCTGTTGGAAGAATTAAAAGAAATAGGGATAGAAAATATTACACTTAAAACTTTGTTGAATAATGGCTTGAATCATTATAAAATATATAAGGCTTTAATGAAGATCTATTTAACAGGATTTAGAAGGGTTTAATTTTTTATTTACATTTTTTATTTATTTATTTAATTTAGTTCTTCCTATTCCATCAATGGTCCACACTCCAGCCCAGTAGGTGGCGTGTGAAATGTGAAATGTTAAAAACATCTTGATGGTTAAAGATAAAGCTGAAATTATATTACACAGTCCAAGGTAAAAAAAAGCACATTTTGTTAAAAAAGATCAAAGTTGGGAGGTTGTATCAAAGCATAGCTCAGTAGCTTAGTACATATAAGATACATAAATGTAGTTTCATTTGTCTGAGTACAAGGTTTTATTTTTTCAATTTTGCACC